CAACGTAGTCTCAAAGCCCAGCCAAGCAACTATACTGTGGTTGGTTTTTTCCTTCCCGTGCATTCAAGATGGTAGATGTTAGCTAAGAACATTATCTTTTGAATAATAATAATACCAGTACATTTGCTAGTCGGCTGGACAACTTGCTATTCTGCGTTGGTTGTTTTGCATGTTTGTTTTTTTTTTTCTTGTATATCACTGAACTGAAAAATGTGGGTGTGATGTAACATTTAGCTGGAACGTTAAGTGCCAAAGACATATTTTTGTCCACATCAAACCAATGCAGCAGTTAAAAACATTGCGGATTGTAGGTTATGCAAAACATAAAGCTTGTCACCAATGTAACATGGCACCAGGAACGTTTGCGTGAAGATATTCCTAAGATCTTTTAAAATCTTAATAAACATCCTTGCACAGAGGTGATTCATGGTTTACAGAGCGATAAGCACAAAGGGTCCAGTAACTCACCCCGTATCACCCAGCAAGTCAAGATCAAGCACAGATGCAGAGCTCAAACTCCTGGTTCTCCATACTGACTGTCCTTGCAACAGCATGTTAGGCAAGCGCACAGAGTCCTACCACTACCAAGCATTTCTGCTTCCACAAAACAGTTTATTTTTGTGCTGCACAGGAAAAGAATCAGTGTTGGAAAGTAACCATTTTAGCAATCACTTCCAAGCAAAAAACGTAATTGCTGAGTGAGAACACAAATAGATGCCTAAGCCAATGCTGAGATGATAAACGATTATCACCAATAACAATAACTGCCCAAAATTCCAGCCCATACCTCCATGATTAAACTGACAGACCCTGCACAGGGGGCTGAACAGAAAAGCAGACTAAATACTGAGACTTGGCAAACCTCTGGGTGTCTGTCAGTAGCATACGTCTCAGCCAGCACAGCAGTGGGGAGGCTGTGACCATCCCCAGTAGTTCCCTCCAATACCCAGGGCCATGGGCTACTAAAGGCTGACTGCTGCTCACCCCAAAGCACGGATCTCTGCGCCCTTGTCCCAGGTGTCCTGCCAGGTGCAGAAACACTGGCACTGCAGAGAGAAATGCTTTTGAAGTACCTTGAAATTTTGAAGTGTCAGAACAGGCTGAGAGCCACACTGCCAATGGATTCGGATGGAACTCAAAACAGGCAACTCGACTGAGCACTGTGAGGATAATCAATTACACTGCAACCTAAATTTGTGTTCTGTGCATCGCTTATGCATAAAAAGTGGGAAATAGGTTTGGGAAGAAGGTTCCAAATCACTAATCCTTGTCAGCAGTGCCAGCATTCCAGCCTGCCACATCTGCACTTCTGATTCACACGTATGAATGCGGTGTGTAATACTGCAAGGCCACATGCATCTTTCTTAAGTGCAATCACATCTGAAGAACTCAGCTTGTCTGTAATCGGGAAAACGCACCTGTTTGTATCGCTTTTAAATGAAGTTACCGAGCTCGGTGGCTGCAGCCCCCGGAGCCCTACCCAGCTGCCCGTCAGAACCGTTACGGGCTGTGCCCCGGCACAGCAGCAGCCGGGCGCCTGACGCCCGCTCAAAGAACCGGACTCGAGGTGGCAAGAGTCTGTTCGCTCCAGCGATCAAAGCGCGGTTTTCTAAGTTTGAAACCACTCCGACTGGCCGCCTTCGTGCTGCCGGGAGCCGCGGCGCACGGAGCTCCCGCAGAGATCGGGCCGCCCCTCAGCGCCCCGCGCACCCCCGCCCCAAGATGGCGGCCGCCCCTCACACCGCCTCCCGACCCCGCGGCCCCTCGCGCGCCGCCGGCGGAGCGCGGCCTCGGGCGGAGCCGCCCCCTCCCGCCGGCGCCGCCGGGAGCCGTAGTCCTCCTCCCAGATCCGCCGCCCGCCTCCCCGTGCCCTCGCCGCCGCCGTGCCGGGACCACCCCCGAGCCGTCCGACGGGCGGCGGGCAGGAGCGCCGTGCGGCGCGGGAGCGGCGGAAGCGAAGGGCGGCGGACCGCGGGCGGAGGACTACGGGCCCCGTGGTGCACGGCGGCGCGGGCGCGCCTGCGCGTCGGGGCGGCCGCGGGAGGAAGCGGCGGGAGGAAGCGACGGGAGCGCCTGGCGCGGGCGGGCGCGCGGGGCCGGGCCGGAGCGGGCCGGGAGCCGCCATGCCCCGGGACAACATGGCCTCCCTGATCCAGCGGGTGGCGCGGCAGGCGCGCATCACCTTCCGCAGCCCCGCGGGGCCGGCCTTCGGGGAGAACCTGCACCGGCTGCAGCAGCTGCTGGACGAGGTGCGCGCCGAGGACCTGCACTTGGCGCCGCATGGGCCGGCTCCGGCGGCGGCAGGGTGCCCGCGGGCCGGCGCCGTGCCGCCCGTCAGCTATATGCACATCTGCGAGACCGAGAGCTTCAGCATGGGCGTGTTCCTGCTGCGCGGCGGCGCCTGCATCCCGCTGCACGACCACCCGGGGATGAACGGCATGCTGAAGGTGCTGTACGGCACTCTGCGCATCGCCTGCATGGACGCGCTGCCCGCCGCCGCCGCCCCGCCGCCGCCGCCCGCCCCGGGGCCGTGCCTGCGCGCCCTGCTGCGCTCCCGGCAACACTACACGCCCGCCTCGCCGCCCTGCCTGCTCTCGCCGCACAGCGACAACCTGCACCAGATCGACGCCGTGGACGGCCCCGCCGCCTTCCTCGACATCCTGGCGCCGCCCTACGACCCCGAGCACGGCCGGGACTGCCACTACTACCGCCTGCTGGAGGGGCCGCCGGCCGGCGCCGAGCCCGCGCTGCCCAGGGAGGTGTGGCTGCTGGAGACCGCGCCGGCCGCCGACTTCTGGTGCGGGGGAGAGCCCTACCCGGGGCCCCGCGTCTGCCCCTGAGGCGGCGCCCGCCGCGCGTCGGCCCTCGGGACCGGACGGAACGCTGCGGAGCGCCCGGCCGCGAGGGGAGGCGGGCGTCGGCGCGGGGAGCCCCGCCCGGCTCGTCCCGTCCGACCGCTCGAGGACGGCGCCCCGGGCCGCGGTTCGGCCCTCCGCTCCGATCGCGCCGCTCCCGCCGGGGGAAAGGCCGCCGGCACGGGCTGCTCGCAGGGCCGCGCGCCGAGGGCCGCTCGGGACAATAAAGTGACGATGTATTTATTTCTTGTGGCTGACGTGCGATGAAGGAGGAGTGGCGCGGTCCGGTTCTACTCGACTGAGCGTTCGGAAGAAAACCCAGTGCTCTGCGTGCGTCGCCGAGCTTCGGTCAAAGGGGGGGGGTCGGGCTCCAGCAGAGCGAATGCAATAAGAACCCTCCCGGAGCCGTAACCCCCACCCCCTCGCTGCTGGGAGCGCCGCACCGCCTTCCCGGCGGCTCCGGGCCGGGCTCCACTAAGAGATGTACCGAACTGGCAAAATCCCACCCCCGGGGCAACTCTTGGGGCGGGCAGCGCTCCGTGGATACACAGTGGTGTGCGTGGGGTGGGAGTGAAATGAGTTCCCCTCCTGAGGGACGGTGTCGGGTCCCGAATTACCATTTAACAGTTCTTCACTGCGTTCCGTATAAGATCCAGCTATTAGAACTGAAGTTATAGAGCATTCCTATGCATGTTCCCTCAGCCGGGAGGAGACTCACAGCTGCTAATTAACTGTGCTTGGGAGTTCTCATATAGCAGTGGTCGAGGGGAGTGGAAGCTGTGGGCATCTTTAGAGAAGACCGCTGCTGTCCCATGGATGCTGCTGTACAACACTACTCACTTGCCTGTAACCTATAGATATGTATATCCATCTGTACACACACCCTAGGTTCAGATAGGATTTGACCCGATAACTCTTCTCTAAAAGCGGTCTGTGTTTTTATATGGACAGGTGAACACTGAGCTTTGGAAGCCTTGTGGTTTCCCTCTTTATACTATTTATAAAGATTACTTTTTTGTAAGGCTTTTAAATAAACATAGTGTAGAAGAGACGCAGTGCATTTTGCCTTGCTGTGCTGTAAGCAGCCTTGAGATACAGCATGCCCTCAGCAGGGGATGTGATCTTTCTAACGGGAGAAACTTTTCTAGAGGTGATGTACCTGTTTGTGCTGCAGGGAATGGCCCGGTGCCTCTGATGGCAGAGCACGCCGTGCCACGGGCTCCAGCCTGGGTCACCGTGTGGGAATTTGAACACAAACCCACTTCCTAAGGGATGTTACCAGCCTGCTCCAGAAACTGTCCCACAACCAGCCTTTGTGTTTCTTTGTGTATTTATAAAAGCAGACTTGTTTTTCCTGTACGGTTGCTTGGACGGGTGAATTTTTAAGTGATTCTGATACAGCATCACTTTTTTAATTGGGCAGGAAGGGCTGTGGAAGAATGAATGTAAAACACCATCAGCGTCATGCATACACATATTAATGCTTTTGCAAGGAAAAATTGGTGGAAATTATTTTGCTCAATTTCCATTTATTCTTACAGCACTGTGGAGCGTCTGATGTTTCTGCAGTGGGCTTACCTGTTTTTCCTGGAATTCCCCTGCAGCTTAGCATTAGTTAATGTGCAACAATTCTCTATCAAGCGTAGTCATTAACTGTAATGCAGTGCCTCGGAATGGCACAGCCTGTGTTTCTCACTCGCTCCGGCACTAATGAAGACTGTCATCCTTTTCCAGAAGCCCACAGTGTGCTGCATGCAAACAGCAGTACTGGAAAAACAAACTGCAACAAAGAGCATTTCGGTTCTGTATCTCATCTCTCTATCCTCCCCTTAGGTCTCTCTTGTTGCTTTTTATTTTTTCTCCATGCTTAAGACCTAGTCAAGACATGTAATGGGATAGGATTTTAATGCACCTTTTCCACAGAGGACAGTGTGGTCCCTTACCCTGTAGAGTGCTGTTAACAATTGTGGCAAAACTTTTTTGTTTTTTTAAATAACGGCGTTAGCATCAAAGTATTGAAGTCATTGTGTCAGGAAAAAGAGAACCTGAGATGCATTAAAGAAAAGCCTCTTCTTGCTTATTCAATGATTGAAACTTAACTGCACGTGTTCTGGATATCTGTAAGCAGAAGGTTTGAGTCTAATATAGTTCCTTCTCTCTGCAGTTTGTTTATTGCGTTTTCACAACAGGAAAATCACTGTTATTGCTGAGTTACAGAATAAATACAGGATATCTCACCACCGACCAGTCATTACTTTTCTCTGCAAGTGTGACAGCTTTGAACAAGAGCGGTAATGCAAGTTTCTTTTGCCTGGCAGCCCAAGTGGTGCATTTGGCCCTTCAGACACATCCAGCACATGTGGTACTGCAGCTTGTGAAGCTAGTTGTTACTGTAAAGCAAAGGCACAGGTTTAAGAGTGCTGATACTATTACACAGTGTAAAGTTTCTCACAGCTCTACGCTAGATACTTGTGTCCTTAATCCAGCTCACTTACAATTTCTGTGTTGACTTCTGCTCTTTGCTGGCAACTCAATCTTGCGACAGGGCTGCTCTCAGTAGTTTAGAGGCCATGGGCAGAGCCTTGGATCGTGCACTTGGGTAGCTGAGAACCTGAGCTGGCCCACGATGCTCTGGCTGTGACCAAGCCATGGTTATCCAAAGCTGTAGCAGTGCCTCGGGAAGCCCAGTGTTGCCCGTCTGCCTTCCTGCGCTGTAGCCCAGTGTTGCTGACCGAGGACACCAACGACTCTGTGAGGTTGTGCTCCACGACTGAGACTTGCCCATGTGTCACCCCTCCACCAGCAGGCAGCGGCTGCTGGTGTCCCTTCGGGAGCCTGGGAACATGTGGGACTACGTGGCAAAGCTGCCCATATGCTGAGATGAGGGGAGGCTAAAGCTTATGAGAGCTGTGTGGGGAAGGTGGCAGGGTGCTGAAAAGCTCCTCAGCTTCTTTGTGCCCAGTTTTGGAGACCTGTAGACAGCAGGAAGTTTCAGTGCAGAAGGAAGGCAGCGGGCTGCCGGTGGCTTCAGTCGGAACAGCCGTGCCAGGGCTGTGCCAGGGCTCATCGCAGCGCTGGACTGCTTGCAGCTGTCCCGGGCTCCACAGCACAACCACGCACCACCACCAGCCCCCGCTGGGTCAGCATCCTCAAAAATAACTTATAGAACGTTAAAAAAGAAAGAAAGAAAGAAAACAAGAAAAGAAAAGAAAAGAAAAGAAAGAAAGAAGAGGAAGGAAAGAAAAAAAAGAAAAAGAAAAAAAAAAAGGAAAAAAAAGCGGTGTCGCGGCCAGGCCGATGTGCAGGGGAAAGCCCGGTTCGGGCGGGGGGCGGCCCGTGCAGCCCCGGACTCGCTGTGCCGGAGCCCACTCGGGGCAGCCGCCCCGGGCCGCGGAACACCGCGCTGAGTCACACCGCCCGCCCGCTCCCACCGCCGGCGCGGCTCACGCCTCCGACGGGAATCCCCGCGGCCGGCAGCGCGGCTCGGCACGGCGGGGCCGGGGCCGGTGGGGAGCCCCCCTCCCCCGGCAGGCACCAACGGAAATAACGGTGTCAGCGTGGCATAATTAAGAGATTTATTCGTCGTCGCTTATAAACGCCGTGAGCGCCGACCCTGCCGTCGGAGGGCTATGTACAGAGTGGCGGGAGGGAGCCCCGTCCCGCAGCTGCCGCCCGCGGCCGCACACGGCCGTGCCGCCGCCCGCGCCCCGCGGCGCAGATCGGGCCGGGCCCGCCGGGTGCGCTCGTCCCGCCCGGGCCCTCCCCCCCCCCCCCGCAGACGCAACACTCTTCGGTCACCGAAAAGACAAAAAAAAATAACAACAACCCCAACCAGTGCGTACAAAAATATAGTCTCTAAAAAAAAAAAAAAAATCCCAATATTAATAGGCAGAAATGTACAGCCATACTACAACCAGGGAGGGAAGGCAAACTTTCCGGTCTCGGCGTCGCCGCTGTCGTCGGAGCGGATCGGTAAGGCACCCCCCACATGCAGCCGGGTACGGGCTCACACCACACAAGGCACCAAGGACACCTCACCACGACGGCACCGCATGCATCCGTCCTCCCGCCGCAGCCCCTATGTACAGCCGTCGGCCCCGCCCGGCCCGGCACCCCGCGCCCCCGGGGTTCCGCGCCGCCCCCGCGCCCCGCGCCCGACTCAGGGCGTCCGCGTCCGCGCCGCGCAGGGGCCCAGGGCGGCCCCGCTGCCGCCGGCTCCGGGCTGCGGGGCGGCGGCGGTCCCCGCGCCCTTGCGCTCCTTCTGGCGCAGGTGGATCTTGGTGTGCCGCTTCCTCTCGTCGGAGCGGGCGAACTTCCTCCCGCAGAAGTCGCAGGCGAAGGGCTTCTCGCCGGTGTGCGTGCGGATGTGGGTGGTGAGGTGGTCGCTGCGGCTGAAGTTGCGCATGCAGATGCGGCACTGGAAGGGCTTGTGGCCCGTGTGGATGCGGATGTGCCGTGTGAGCTCGTCGGAGCGCGAGAAGCGGCGGTCGCAGCCCTCGGCGGGGCAGGGGTAGGGCCGCTCGTGCACCGGCGTCTTGCTGGGCCGGTTGGGGTACTTGCGGGGCCGCAGGATGGGCCGCAGCGGCAGGTGGTGCGGGCTGTAGGCGCCCGCGGGCAGCCGCGCGCCCTCCCCAGCTCCGCTGCCGCCGCCGCCGCCGCCTCCGGGGGCAGAGCCGGGAGCGGCTCCCGCCGGGGCCGCCCCCATGGTGAAGTTGCGGATGGTGGAGAGCGGCGTGAGCGGTGGCGGGACGCGGAGCGAGTCGAGGGGGCAGGGGAAGGGCTTGCGGTCGGGGCCGGCGTGCAGCTCCCGCTGGCACTGGGGCGGCGGGAAGAAGCCGCCGTACTCGGGGATGACGGTGAAGAGCCCACCGTCGGCAGCCGCCGCCTTCGGGGAGGGGTAGGAGGGCGGCGGGGGGAAGGGCAGCGCCCCGCCGCCGGCGGCGGGCAGGAAGGCCGAGGAGGGGTCCTGCGGGTACAGCTCCCCGCAGCCCGAGTAGGGCGGCGGCGGAGGCGAGTAGAGGTGCTCCAGCTCAGCCGGCGGGCCCTGCGCCATGCCGCAGCCCAGCGCCCCGGGCAGCGCGCCGGGGGAGGCGGCGGAGGCGGCGGTGGCCGAGGAGGAGGCGGAGGAGGCGGCGGAGGAGGCGGCGGAGGAGGCGGCGGAGGCGGCGGAGGCGGGCGCGCTGACCCCCTGCAGGATGCCCGCGCTCACGATGTTGATGATGCCCTCGGGGTAGCAGCCGGCGCCGGGGTACTGCGGGTCGATGGAGAACTTGCCCATGTAGGTGAAGGTCTGGTTGCGGGAGGCCGGGGCGCCGGGCGCGAAACCGCCGCCGTAGGGGAGCTCCAGGGCCCGCTTGTCGCCCATGTCCATGCCGAGCATGCCGTCTGGGGGCGAGGCGAGGCGCCGGTCAGCACCGCGAGCCTCCCCTGCCCCGGCGGCCGCTCGGGGGGCGCGGGGCCGCGGCGCGCACGTGTCGCGCCCCGGCCTCTCCCCCGAGCGGCGCCCCGAGGGACCCCAGCCGGGCGAGCCCAGGGGGACAGCCGCCCCCGCCCGCCCCCGCAGCCGCCCGCCGCCCGGCCTCACCGCCCCGCACCTGCGCGACCGCGCGGCTCCGCTTACCTGCGGCCACGCCGCTCATCTGATCGAACGGCCCCGCGGGGTCGGCATTGGGGAAGATCGCGACCGAAGTCGGCAGCGCGGCGGAGATGTCGTCCGCGGGGTAGATGCCCTCGGTCAGCTGGTGCGGGAACCCGCCGAGGGGCACCGGGATCTTGTCCGCCGCCTTGGCGGTCATCATGGGGGCGGCGGGCGGCCCGGGGAGCCGCGCTCCCGGCCGGCGGCGGGCGCTCGGGGCGGGGACGGGGCTCTCCCCTGCCTCCCGCTACCGACGCGGGGGGATCGCGGGGAGCCGGCGCGGAGCGGGCATGTGCGGGCGGGCGGCCGCCCCGTCGCGGCGGTGCCCCGGGAGAGCCGCGCTCCCGCCGCAGCTCGCGCTGGAGGACAAGTCTGGCGGTAACTATTTATGGGGGCCCCCTGAATGCCCGGGACGTCACTGCCCATAT